ATTCACCTCTGTGTTGTCTGCAGGCACACTGGCTCCAGTTCAGAGATGGTGAAGATGTCAGAGATGTGGCTAGTGGACCAATCCCAAACTCTCACTTGGAAAGTCATCAAGGCCATTTAGCTTGAAACCCACAAGCTTCCTTCCATCAGTTTTCACTGGACCACTAAGGTCTTGACCTCACAGACACTCCACAGCCTGGCTAGCCAATGCAGCTTCTTTAACAACCTGTTTGTTTTTTGTTGTGCCCAAGTTGCAAAGACCCCCAGAGACCACCAGGAAGACAGCCCCACTATACCGCAAAAGCAAGGTTTTCATTGTTCATCCACCCATGACGGGGACCCTGTCTGGCTACCTGTCCCAGCAGCCTTCAGAGGGAGTGTAGTTCCCTGTCCACTGCTAGGTTTTAAAGACAAAAGTCACAGAATTACTTCAGTAGGTACGGGTTGGTTTCTGATGGGTTGACATTTGGGAACAATCAGGAGAATTTCTCAAAGTCATATTTTGGCACGAAATACCTGTGTACCAACTATTCTCATTGATCAGTGCTGAGAGGGAACATTCTGTGGTTTCTATGGCTTTGTCTTGTTACTTGCAGGTGGCCTGTTGTACACAGATACGAACAGTTTTCAGAACTAAATCCTAGAGACCACAGGGGAGGTTTTGGTCCCCTGGAGTTTCTTTTGTGGCCAAACAGTTCCCAGGAACTAAGTATTTAGGAGGCTGGGGGTGGGTGGGGATCTTGGAGTTCAGTTTTGGCCCTAGGTTCTGGGAAGTCAGAGGATCTGGAGTTTCCTTGTGTCAGAGGCCTACATGTCTTTTCTGTAGCCTGTCATGGCTGATAAAGCAGGGGCTGAGTTTAGTTTACCCCTTTCATTTTTAAAGATTTTTATGTTTTATGTGTACAAATGCTTTCACTGCATGTCAATATACATACCACATGTGTGCCCTCATTTCAGATCCCTAGAACTATAGTTACTGGTGGTCATAAACCACCATATGGGTGCTAGGAATCATAGGATAACACATGCTCTTAACAACAGACCCATCTCTCCAGGCCCAACTTGCTTCTTTTTATTTTCTGAGACAGGGGAAAGAATTTTGTTGTTTTTGAGAGATCTCCTGTAGCCTGAGATGGCCTGAATTATGTAGCGGAGGCTGGTCTTGGATGCAGGGATTATAGTAGATGTGCTCCCCTATGACCAGTTCTGTCCCTTCCCGCCCCTCTCCTCCTTTCCTCTCCCCTGTTGTCTTGGAACTCACTGTATAGCCCAGCCTGGCTTCAAAATCTCTGCAATCCTCCTGCCTTGGTTTCCTACTGGGACTACAGTGTGAGCCGCCACACATAGCTGGCAAAGTGCCTTTGTAGTACCGAAAGGACTGACTGTTAGTCTCCCCAATCCCCACAGGTGAAGAAGCTCTGGCAGGAGGATTGAGGTCAAGGATGTCAAGAGATATTAATGGGTTCCAGCAAGAAGAGCAGAGGGGGTGACCCACTGCTGCCTGGAAGCCACTCAAGAGCCACATGTCATTGAATCCCAGGATAGTGGACTGGCCATCCACTGAGAGAACACTCTCCTCATCAGGCTTTCTGTCCCTTTAACCCCAAGCACTCACCAGTAAGCTTATCTCGAACCCTGTTAATAATCTGAATAGCTTTCTTGTTTAAGGCTTCTGGTTTCACCAAACCATCTCCAACTGAAAGACACAAGAGTAGAAGCAACAGGTCCAAGGCTGCCCTGCTTTTATGAAACACTCCCCTCTGGGTTGAGTAATCCGTCTCTGTCCTCAGCACACAATGTGCAACTCATAGACCCCCTTCCTCTCAAAGGGAACCTTGTTACTGCCCTATCCACTCCCTTCCTGGCTTATGATTCAGTGTACAGTTATCTGTGCAATGAGCTAGCCATCACTGCAGCCCCCCAGATTGTGGACTTACTGAAAGAATGAATGGATTCTGGCACTGTGGTCCCTGTTTTCTTATGGGCTGGTTCTCCAAGTTCTACACCGTCCAAAATTTCTAGGGGGAAAAAATACACACACACACACACACACACACACACACACACACACACACACACACAAACCCATCTCAATTAGTAGAAGATTCAAATACTAAAACCATTATTTTCTTTCTTTTTTTTTTTTTTTCGGTTTTTCGAGACAGGGTTTCTCTGTAGCTTTGGAGGCTGTCCTGGAACTCACTTTGTAGATCAGGCTGGCCTCGAACTCACAGAGATCCGCCTGCCTCTGCCTCCCGAGTGCTGGGATTAAAGGCGTGTGCCACCACCGCCCGGCTCTTATTTCTTTTTAAAATTTATTTCATTCTAATTTATGTGCATGTATGTATGTGTATGTGGGCATGTCCACACGAATGTGGATGTGTGTACCTAAGGCCAGAGGAATTGGATCTTCCTGGAGCTGGAATTATAAACAGCTGTGATCCACCTGCCGTGGGTGCTGGGAACCAAACTCAGGTCCTCTGGAAAAGTAGTATGTGCTCTTCACTGCTGAGCCATCTCTCCAGCCCTGTTATTCTTTTTTTTAAATAAAAATTACATTTACTTATGTGTGTGTGTGTTGGAGGGAGTGAGCATATTTGGGAGGTCAGAGGACAACTTTTAGGAGTTGCTTCTGTCCTTCCACTGTGTGTGTCCAGGGGACCTTACTTAGGTGGCCATGAGCACCTTACCCACTGAGCTGTCCTGGGGAGCAAACTCAGGGTTTCATTCATGCTAGACAAGCAGTCTTTAGCACTGACAGGGCTGGAGGGATGGCTCAGTGGTTAAGAGCACTTATAGCTCTTGGAAATGACCTGGGTTTGATTCCCACCACCCTCATGGTGGCTCACAAGCATCTGTAACTCCAGTTCCAGGTGATCCAACACCTTCTTCTGGTCTCCTCCAGGCATTCATGAAATGCACAGACATACATGCAGGCAAAACACCTATGCACATACAAACAAAAACATGATTAAAGATGAAGTGATATGACAATTAGTTTCTAATTCTTTTTAAAATGTATTATTTGTTATGATTGTGTATAACTGTAATCCTTACTTGATAACTATTTTTGTTCTATATAATTTTATTATGTGTAAAGTTGAAAACTTTTTTAGTTAGACAAAAAGGGGGAAATGTGAAATATTCTTTAGACTCTGTGAATATGTGTCACTGCAATTGAGTTAATAAAGCTGACTGGTCAATAGCTGGAGAGGTGGAGGTTAGGCAGGACTTGCAGACAAAGACAGCTTGAAGAAGTAGTGAGGAGACAGAGAAGCAAGATGGACCCGCTGGGTTGAAAAAAGGCTAACTTAAAATGTAAAAGCTAGTTAGTAACAAGTGTAAGTTATCAGCCCAGCAGTCATAATTAATAAGTCTCTGTGTGGTCATTTGGGAACTGGCGGGTGGGGCAGAAAAGTCAGCCTACAATTGTGAAAGGGTGTGGGAGGAGTGCAGCTCACAGCTCACATGTGGTCAAAGAACAACTTCATGGGTCAGTTTCTCCCTCTACCTTTTACACAGATTATGGGACTCGAACTCAGGTCCCCAGGCTTGACTGGCAAGCATCTTGACAGCCCCTTTTTCTTGTTTTGTTTTTTTCAGACTGGAGCTCATAACCCAGGCGGGCCTCAAGCTTGCTATATAGGTAAGATGACCTCAAATACTCTGGACATAAAGGAGTGGTGTCTGCCATCTTCCCTGGGTTGTACCCACCTACTGACTGGCCTGCAGAGTAGGAGTCTGTCCTCGTTCGGGACCGCTTGTTGCCTTTGGTATTTGCTAGGAAAAGAAAGGAAGTGTTAGGAAGTACTTCAGACTGTGGCTTGAAAGAAACTTGGTTGAAAAGCTATTTCCCTACAACATGAAAAGAGTTTTTCAAAATCTGTAATGCTGAATAGTGAACAAGACCTATCACTCAGAACCAACGGGGAGAGCCCAAATCGGTAACCTGATGCTCTCCACTGCAGACCTGACTTAGACAAAGTGCATGCTGGTTTACTCGGAGCACCAGGAGCCTCAAATCACAACTGTCTGTGTTTCTTACTAAAATCCCAGCTTCCTATTCTACAGCCCAAACAAATGAAACCCACGAAGGTATAGTTTATCCAGAAAAAAAAACTTCATTACATAGCTAAGCCTAGAAGTGGGAGTGTTCTGTAGCTTCTTAAAAATACTTGAAATTCCTCTCCAGCCCCCAGTTGCTCTGGGACATATACATATACACAAATACACACACATACATACTTATTTCAAATATCGAATAGCCCAGGCTGGCTTAGAACTGACAAGAGGATTCATCCCACATATTTGAAACTTACTGTCCATCAGCCTCCAGTTCAGCAAAGGATCATAGACAAAGGCTTCCAGTACAGCCATGACGCTGTCCTTATGTTCCCGAAGCACTTCCATCACTGTGTGGCATGTGGTTCTATAGTTGCCATCCAGACCTGTAACCTGCAAAAGGGACAGAGCCACACAGCCAGTTAACTAACAGTGGCTCACTAGTGCCTTGTGACCAACGCAAGGGAGGGCCTGTCACCCTCACTCGGTCTCAGACCCAGGCCAGTACAGACAGAACATGCAATGCTGACCTTCAAAGGCCATTCCTAACACAGCAACGGGGACACGGGCACCTAGGGAACTGACGGGCTCTAACAAGCATGTCTGTCCTCAGAGAAGGGTAAAACTGTATTGGCTCTACTTCAAATCAGTGTCTACCCAGGATCTACTCACCTCCATAGCATTGGTCAACATTCTTGTTAGTCTAAATGGAATCTTTTCTGGAAATTTCTCTCTGGTCATAGCAACCTATAGGGTCATTAAAGAAAAAGCCAAATCCATGGTTAGGTTATATCCATTAGCTAAGGCCAGGTGAGGGTATGTGGTTTCTCTTGACATCATGTGCACTGGCTGACATCACAGTAAGGAAACATGTCACTGAATTCAGTGACAGGGTAGTCATCACAGGGATCTGAAGATGACTTATGGAAACAAAAACAGGAACGAGAAAAAGGACATGTGCTCACAGCCTGGCCTTGGCCAGCATGCAGCCAGAGGACAGGAGATCCTTCCTCCTGAGTGGGTGTGGGGAAGAGTCCTTGCCCAGGAGGCTTAGAGGCTAAGAGGAGGGGGAAGGGAAGGCCTTTGGGGCGGAGCTGCCCGGACTGTCAGGAGGGTCAGATGTGTGCAGCAGTTACCTCGAAGCAGTCCCCAAAGTCGATGTGCAGGATCTTCCCGCTCAGCCGGTCCAGCATCAGGTTAGACGGGTGTCTGACAAACAAGTGGGGAGGGGTGAATCAACCAGACAGCTCCAGGCTGGCAGCTGGCAAAGGCCTACTCCCAGGTGACCCCAGCCCCCAGCGGCCTGTGTGACTCAGGGTTTGTGGGGGCTAGCCTCACTCACTGGTCTCTGCACTGCCTGCTTTCGGGCCACACAGCCCACAAAGCCTAAAATATCTGTTATCTGCCCTTGCATTTACTTTCTTGGAATCTAGGGTTTCCCAGGAAAATAATTTCTGTCAAGAGTGGCACAGCTGTCATTCCTACCAAGCAGCTACCATAGCTACTGCTTGAACCTCTGGGTCAGCCTAAGCCCCTAGTCTATCAGTCTTCAACTGAACTGGCATTCTGCCAGGGCTTCAGAAGTTTTGAACCACTGGTTTCTAGAGCTTTGTATTTTGCTTACACTGTGTGTGATGCGCACCTGCACACGTACACACCATGGTTCCCCTTCAGCAGTCAGAGGACAACCCACAGGAGCTGCCTCTCTCCTTCTACCATGGGGCTCCGAAGATCAAACCCAGGCTGCCAGGTCCTGCTGTGGAAGTACTTTCACCCACTGAGCTCTCTCACTGACTTTTTTTTGTTTTTTAAAGACAGGGTGTCAGGGCTGGAGAGGTGGCTCAGCAGCCCACACGGCAGCTCAACTCCAGTTGCATGGCTTCTGACACCCTCACACACATACATGCAGGCAAAACACCAATGATCATTTAAAAAAGAAAGGCAGGGTCTCACTTAGTAGTCCTCTGCTTCTGTGTCTTGAGTGCTGGGGTCAAGGCTTGTCCACCATGCCATGATGGGAGACCCCATTTCCTCACTTTGCTGCCTGGGTTCATATCAAATCTTAGGCTGAGGCAACATTCCCACCTCAGTTTCCAAGTGCGGGGACTACAGGTGTATGCTTTAAAGCCTAACTCATAACCCTGGGTTTTTATTTTAGAGGTTGGTGGAGGCACAAAATGATTTTTACTCAAGTAACTGCATGAGACACAATTCCAAAGAAAAGCAGTAGACACCAAAGAATCAGTTTTTTTTTTTTTTTTTTTTTTTAAGACAGGGTTTCTTTGTGTAGCTCTGTAGACCAGGCTGGCCTGGAACTCACAGAGATCCACTTGCCTCTGTTTCCCAAATGCTGGGATTAGAGGCGTGCACCACCACTGCCCTGCTTGTTTATATTCTTATGTAACATTCCTGATTCTTTTTTCTTACTTTCTTTTGGGTGTATTGCAGATCAAGCTCTGGCTTTGTATTAGCTACACAAGTGCTCTCCCACTGCGTCATAGCCCCAGGCATGAATTACCTCTTTCGTTACTATACTTACATAAGTGCTGATTGATGAGTTTGTTAAATCAATAAGTCACTTTGGGGACCCCTCCTGTAGGCATAGTCACCCTACTCCTCAACGAAACCATGCTTGCTTTACCCTCAAAAAAATAGTTATTTATTCAATGGTCACACATTTCACTGGAAACAAAATGAAACCATTCAAAACAACTGGAGAAAAGAGACTCAAAAGACACAAATTAAATTCACTCACCTGTCTCCCAGGCCTAAAATGTATCCAACCATTGACATGACGGCTAAGGAGCGGGTATAGTTGGTTCTTCGGTCAAACCACACCTACAGCATGAGAGCACACGTGAGTCAGCATTCTATAAATCAGCAGTTTCAACATAGTTGAAGAGGACAGCTCTTCTCTAGATTCTACATAGCCAGTTGGAATGAATAATGGAACGAAGACCCCACTCCTAATTAAGCAGAGAAGAGTCTCTCAGAGGACAACCGTGTGACTGGTTCTCCTTCCTCCATGTGAGTTCCAGGGACTGAACTGAGCTTGTTAGAGTGAAGTAACTTGCCAAGGATCTCTCCGGCCCAGTTTGTTCTCGTTCTCTCTCGTTCTCTCTCTCTCGTTCTCTCTCTCTCTCTCGTTCTCTCTCTCTCTCTCTCTTTTGTTTTTGTTTTTTACGAGACAGGGTTTCTCTGTATTGTTTTGGAGGCTGTCCTGGCACTTGCTCTGTAGACCAGTCTGGCCTCGAACTCAGAGATCCACGTGCCTCTGCCTCCCAAGTACTGGGATTAAAGGTGTGCATCACCAATGCCTGGCTTTCTTTCTTTCTTTTTTTAAAAAGATTTATTTATTGATTGATTATGAATACAACACGCTGCCTCCATGTATGTCTGCATGCCAGCAGAGGGCGCCAGATCACATTGTGGATGGTTGTGAGCCACCATGTGGTTGCTGGGAATTGAACTCAGTGCTTTTAACCTCTGAACCATCTCTCCAGGCCCTTATCTCATTTTTTTTCTTTTTTTTTACAAAAAATTATTTATTTGTATGAGTGTTTTGCCTGCATGTATGTATGTGCACCACATATATGCCTGATGCCTGATTTGGCCAGGAGTTGTGAGCTGCCATGTGAGTTTGGGGAACTCAACTGAGGTCCTCTGCAAGAAAGAGCAGTCAGTGATCTTAACCACTGAAACATTTCTCTAGCCCCCCTTTTTTTTCTGGAGACAGGGTCAGATTGTCTTAAAACTCTCTATGTAGTAAAGGATGGACTTAAATTCATAGTGATCCTCCTGCCTCAGTCTCCCAAATGCTGGGATTACAGGCGTGAACCATCATTCTCAGTTTAAACAGCTTTGCATGAAAATTCCTCAGCTAGCCACAACAAAATGAGTATACCTCCTGTCGTATGTGGGTGTCTGTGGTGATGGTGGGGCTGCCTGCAGATGGGCGGGCCATACCTCTGAGCTGGGGCTTTTCAGCCACAGTAGCTTGGCCAGGTCATCCCCAGCTGTGTTGGTGACAGCGTGCTCGAACACCTCCACCTTCTGCATCAGAGTCAGGTGGTCATAGTCAGGAGCCATCTGAATCAGGACGGAGCAAGTCAGTGAGACAGAACAGGCTGGGGCCAGGCAGAGCTGGTTCTGACTTCACCAGCAATGCCAACAGAGAGAGGACAGACAAGGAGAAGGGAAAACTGTGGTTGCTATTTTGGTAAGACAGGGTCTTATGTAGTCCTGGTATTTGCTATGTAGATCAGGCTGGCCTTGAACTCCTGAAAATCTACCTGCCTCTGCCTCCCCAAAGCTAGGATTAAAGTCATGCATCCCTATGCCCAGCACTTTTTCTTTTTTTGAGACAGGGTTTCCCTGTGTAGTCCTGGCTGTCTTAAAACTCACTTTGTAGACCAGGTTGGCCCCAAATGTGCAGCACCACCACCTGGCAACTTTTGTATCTGTGTGGTGGCAGTGCAGTGTGAGTATAGGGAAAGTTGAGGTAATGACAACATGTAGGTTAAAATAAATGGGTTAATTTAAGCTTTAAGAGCTAATGGACAAACCTAAGCTAAGGTTATTCGTGATGAAGAGTAAGTCTCCGTGTCGTTATTTGTGAGCTCCCAATAAAATCTGACTACACCCACCAGACATGTGTGGGTGCTCTGGAGTGTGGGGGTTCACAAGGTTCAAGGGACGTACCCGCAGCATGATGCGGTGCTCGATGTTGAGGAGAATCTTCTTCTTCTCCCTGTAGTCCCGGATGAGGGAGTGCAGGGTATCACAGTGGGGGACCCAGCCGATGAGGCCTGAGTTGGTGGACAGCGGGATGACTGCGTATCTCTGGATGCTGGTGGCCACAAGGAAGGACAGTCATTGCACAGTGAACAAAAGCACACCTTTGATGAGCTTAGGACACACAATGCCTTTGGTGAGCCCCCTACTGCCATGTGTGGGTTGAGGAGCCCTCAGTGAAGAAGGCACACTAGGAGATGCCATAGAAGCCACAGTGGTCCTCAACTTGCCTAACAGACTTATCTCTGTGGAGGAAGCACATGACTACTTATAGAGCTAAGTAACCCCAGTGGAGCAGCCACTGGCCAAGACACAGAGGCGCAGCAGGAAGGGTTTCTCTGCCTTTGGTCAAGGGGAATACATCAAAGTTGTAGGATCTTGAGTCTAATCTTCCAGGTGCCATCTGCTGAGTTCTTTGAGCTCACTAAAGGCACCTTGGTGCTCCTTGCCAGACACTAATGTTAGTTTTTGCTTTGTTTTTTTCTGAGACTGGGTCTCTTTAAGTACCCTGGCTGGTCTGGAATCTGTTAGACCAGGCTTGCAGTGACCCTCCTGCCCCTGCCTGTTTCTTGACTGCTGAGATTATACATTTGTGCTACCATACCGAGGCATTTCTGTTTCACAGTGGGCTCATACGTAGTTCAGGTTGGCTTCAAGCACTCTAAGTAGCCTAGGCTACCTTTGAATTCTTGATCCTTGTGGCCCTCCTTCCCAAGCTCTAGGAATACAGGCATATGCCACTACACCTGGTGCAGGCACCTTATTTTAAAGAGTTTGTGAAGACACATGACACCATGGACATCGAGGATGATATGTGAAGAGTCCTGAGAGCTCAGCCTCCCAGTGTTCCGAATACCTGAGGTTTTTCCGAAGAGAAGTTGGGTCATTGGCCAGGAGCGTGTTCACCAGGCCAAAGAGCTGCATCACCCGTTCATCCTGTCGCAGATCTTCGTGGCCTTTCAGGAGGAAAACAAATTCGTGCCCATTGCTGCCTGTAAGAAACGGGGAGCAGTCAAAATTGGTCAGAGTTGCTCAGATCACTTACCCAAGACCACCAGCTTTTCCCAAGGTCCTACGGAATTCGCTGCCTTCCCTAGTCATAGTGTCCCCACAGACGGCACATGCACCTGAACTGTGGGAAGGAAGAACACTGCTATCAGTGGTCCCCAGCAACCAGTGCTGCGCTAGTTAAAACTAACCCTGCTTTATGAGGACTCAGAATGATTGCTTGTTGGAACCCTGGGGGTTCCCTGGGCCCCAGTGGGGCATGCCCAAACGGGGGAACCAGTAGGGTTCCAGGAGACACGAAGAGGGACAGGTCAGGGGATTTGCCCCATAGCTGGCTGGACAGTAGGTGGTGGTGAGGGTGAGGGCGGAGCAGCCTCAGGGCTGAGAGTGCCTTCATAAGCTTCTCTTTTTATTTTACTCTATTTTTTTGGTTTTTTGAGACAGGGTTTCTCTGTATTGTTTTGGAGGCTGTCCTGGAACTTGCTCTGTAGACCAGGCTGGCCTTGAACTCAGAGATCCACCTGCCTCTGACTCCCAAGTGCTGGGATTAAAGGCGTGTGCCACCAACGCCTGGCAGGCTTCTCTTTTAGTCTGCTCGTTTCAGACAATGACGGCAAGCAAGGAACACTGAGAGCACAAAAGCTGTCTTCAAAACGGCTTGTCATGCTCCATGTTTGCCTCAGACGGCTTCTAGGCATCATCAGTTCCCCACACTTTCCCACCACAGCCAGATAATCAGGCAAGGGCGATCTGCTGCTTTACTTCAACAAGTGCAGCGCTGGGCAAACAAGGAGTCTTAGAAGACGTAACAGGAGACTCACGTCCTCCCTTCCTCTCTGACAGAGACGGGCACAGCAGCAGGTGAGACACCAGGCAATCATTCCGGAAGAAAGCAGGTATGCTCGGTCCTTACCCATCAGCGTCAACTTCCGGGGCCTCTGCTTGGACGTGATGACTTGCAAAGATGGGGCTATGGACTGGATGCGAATGATTGGCTGGTTGGGGTCATATGTTCCTGGCACAGCCAATTCAAGGTCCCGGCACATGAGAAGTTTGGGGGAAACATACTGCAGCTCCAGGGATGTGAGCTGTGAAGTTAGGAAAGGATTTAGACCTCTGCCCCACAAGGGGAATTGAAATGCAAAGTAAGTATTTTTCTTTCATTAAATGGCAACAGGCAATCGCTTGTCCTAAGGTTTTCAGTGTGAGTGAAGCCAGACGCACAGGATGAGTTAGCAAGCTCACAAGGCCCTCTGCGGACAGCCGGCCCAGATGGGAGCCTCAAGAGCCTACCTGTGGTAGCTGCTTGGAGACCCGTCTGAACACGTGGTAATAGAGGTCCCAGGCTTGGGTGAGGTCCTTGACGTTCCCTGATTTCATGTACTTTCTGCACCATTCTTGAGCCTCCATTAAATCTCGCCCATACGCCTGAGAGGAAAGCCGGCCTGTCTTTGGGGTTCTGACAGGATACGTCCTCACAGCTGCAGCCGCCAAGAGCACCACCTGTGCCTGTTCACTATGTTCCCTTTTAACAGGGCTCTGCCCACCTCCCATCCTCCTCCCCTTTCTCTCCCCCCCTTTCCTTTCTCTCTCTCTGGCCCTCTTTCCTCTCTCCTGCTGCTGTCTCCTGAGGTCGGTCTCTCCACTTCCCTTTCCCCCTTTTATGAACCTTTTCCCTAATAAAAACCCCTCCACTTGAACCCTGTCACATGGCATCTTTCTCTTGAGCACTGCTTTTCTTAAGTTCCTTTTCCCTAATAAAAACCCCTCCACTTGAACCCTGTCACATGGCATCTTTCTCTTGAGCACTGCTTTTCTTAAGTTACAACAGCCATGACCCTAGGAAAGAGGCTAAATCTGCAAGCAGACCACAGATCCCTGCCCGAGGTGGTATGAAGGTACCAGGAGGGAAGGCTGAGCAGCAGGGCATTTGCAGTCCCAACCCCGGAGCTTCCAGGGCATGAGGATGACCAAACACCCAAGGGGCTTTTAGAGCGAGTAAGGTGACCCCTGGAGGAATCTTGTGAGTGTCCACTTAAACTTTCAGCAGCTGAGGGGGTGGCTTGGTAAGCAGTGCTTGCCCATCAGCTGAGGGGCGGCTTGGTAAGCAGTGCTTGCCCATCAGCTGAGGGGGTGGCTTGGTAAGCAGTGCTTGCCCATCCGCTGAGGGGGTGGCTTGGTGGGAGGTGCTTGCCCATCCGCTGAGGGGGTGGCTTAGTGGGAGGTGCTTGCCCATCCGCTGAGGGGGTGGCTTGGTGGGAGGTGCTTGCCCATCAGCTGAGGGGGTGGCTTGGTAAGCAGTGCTTGCCCATCAGCTGAGGGGGTGGCTTGGTGGGAGGTGCTTGCCCATCAGCTGAGGGGGTGGCTTGGTAAGCAGTGCTTGTCCATCAGCTGAGGGGGTGGCTTGGTAAGCAGTGCTTGCCCATCAGCTGAGGGGGTGGCTTGGTGGGAGGTGCTTGCCCATCAGCTGAGGGGGTGGCTTGGTAAGCAGTGCTTGTCCATCAGCTGAGGGGGTGGCTTGGTGGGAGGTGCTTGCCCATCAGCTGAGGGGGTGGCTTGGTGGGAGGTGCTTGTCCACCCTGCAGCTTGTCAAGAAAATGAAAATTATTTAAGGGGCTAGAGAGATAGCTCAGTGGGTAAACGCACTGGATATTCTTTCAGGTCTTGAGTTCAATTTCCAGCATCCACATGAAGGCTCACATCGCTAACTATTTCCACGGGAACTGATGCCCTCTTCTGGTGTACATAGATGCAGACAAAACACTCATATACATAAGTAAATGAATCTTAGGAAAAAAAAATGCCAGTACTTTTTTCTTTTTTAATAGGAGGGTTGTTGCAACAACTACATTTCCAGTGTTTTGTTTTGTTTTTCTGGGCATGAGTTCCAGGCCTAGTGTAGAGAGAAGCCTTTTCCTTGCCAGCCGCTTTGGTTTTTTTCCCCACCAGTCGCCTGGGCTCTGCCACGTTGTAGTCCTCAAATAACACACAAGACGCTGTATTAATTATGAAGCTGTTGGCCGTTTGCTTGATTTCTTACTGGCTATTTCTGACTTAAATATTTATTCCATATTTATTAATCTAAGTATTTCTCTTACGGAGAAAGGGGTCCGAGCTTCTTACCCCTAAGGCAGCTACATGATGACTCCCTGTGTTTCTCCTTCCCAGAGTCCTCCTTGACTCCTAATCCCACCTATCTTGCTTCCCTATTGGCCAACAGTGCTTTATCGACATATACACAGGACTTCCCCATCAGCCTAGGCTGGCCTTGAACCTGCGATTCTCCGGCCCAGAGGTTATATTTTTCTAAGCAGTGACCTCTGCTGGGTGCCAGGTGCAGAGGGAAGGCAGTCTGGTGAGGTGAGGGTAGCGTCCCGCACACTTGCCCATACCTGATTAAAGGACGTCTCCTTTAGAGTCTGGGGACCCCGTTCCATCATAGCATGCAGGGGCTCCAGCACCTCAAACATGCCTTTCACGTTCCTCTCCCCGAAGTACAAGCGCGACGCCTCTTCCAGGCCTTCGTGCCACATCTCATGCCAGAGGATTGCTACTCGAATCAGCTCTTCGCTCACCTGGGTCAAAGGGAGAAGGAAGGAATGCCACATGTGCTAGGATTGGCAAGGTCCAACCTGGAGGCAGGGGAGGGGCAACGGCCACAGAGGAAGAGAAGCTGTCACTCGACACCCGTGGCTGCTGGCTCACACTCACTACTCACCATCATGGCCTGCTGGACTAGCGTGTTACTGTGCTCACACATGTTCTTCAGGATCTTGTTGGCTGCGTTGTGACGCGCTGTCGTGGTGGACTTAGAAGCCACCGTTAGGGGATAGATGAGGGCCTAAAGCATACAGAGAACACTTGCAAAGGAACGTGTATGAGGAGGACGGAGAAGGAGTAGTGAGGACAGCATTAGTCTGTGGACATCAGGACATTGGGTGAAGCGTTAGCTCCTACTCCCACACTGTCGCTGGAGGAGCTTTGGGAAAGGCTAGCCACCATACCAATGGTCAGTGGTTTCCTGAGAAAATGCTCACCAGGGTCGACACATACCTGTGGGTGGTAGCGACCAATGTCTGTGAGAAGCTGGTGAATGAGCCGGCCCACCAAGGGTCTGGGCGTGTCAATTCTTGCAATTAGCTGAGGTATAACCTGGTATGCAAGAAGACACGGTGCATAGCACGTGAGGCACGGAAAGAGTGATGTACGCAGTCTGGACGTTGGCCCAAGCTGCTGCTTTACCACTCACGACACAGGCGGCCTTGCTCCTGTGGCCACCGGTGATTTCAAATGCAGACTGTCACCCATCCTCACTGACCCCCAGCTCTCTCTCACCTGTAACCAAGTATCAATCTGTATGGCCTTCACCCCTTCCACCAAGGCTTCGTTGACATCTGGCCAATGACCATAATCAAACCACAAGGTGAGGACTCTGGGGAGACAGGAGAGAGTCACAGGAGTTGAGTTTCCTAGCCTGTCTGCCTTTCACCTTTAAGGCCGTGACGGGTGGCCGATTGTGAGGGAGCTCTAAAGACTAGCCCAAGGGTTTCATCCCAGATCCATCAGGGCCACTGAGGTACAAGTTGAGCCACGCGCGGATGAGCTAGGCAGGGTCTGTACATGGAAGGAGGTGCCTGCAGGGTAGGCACCAGGGAGGCTGGGGCGTCAGACCAGTCAGGCCCCGGGACGACCGGGAAGCGGCTCCCGCCTTACCGCTCCTTTACCTACAGGGCTCAGCCTCACAGGCTGTCATGTCTCAAGGGACGGGGAAGAAAGGCCCGTATGCTGACTGAGTGGACTGACCAGAGGGGGAGTATGAAGACACCACACGGGTGACTTCCATGCCCTGCCATGGACAAGGCTTTTCAGAGTAACTTCCTCCTCTGCCTCCATACCTGAGTGTGTCCTGCAGGTTGTTGCCTCTCGACAAGGAGATAGAACGGAAGAAGCCTTGGACAGCAGGGACAGTGTACAACAAGAGGGTTTTGGACAAATCCTGTCGAAACACCAGTGTGTTACTGACACTCTTGTCTCAACTCTCTCATCTGTAAAGTGGGCACAGTTGCACACTGACGGCACCGGCCTCAAAGGGTAGTCAGGACTGTGAGCACACTTCTGCATATAGAAAGCATTGCACAGTGGCAACTGTCTCCATGATCAGATCTTGGCACAGTGTGGCGGCCTGACTAGGGCACTAGGAGCAGAGCTGAAGCCCTGAGCATGCTGTTCTCTGTACTTGCTGGCTGCATTCTGAACGGACAGGCCCAAGGGAGGCAGTCATGGAAACTGCAAGGCAGGGGACAGATCCTCAAGGCTCTGTCCTCAGAGTGGCCCTGCAGCTGTGGCAGCCACCCCCGTACAAGGACAGTGCATTGAGGGGACGAGCTCATCTCTGTGGGAAGCAAGGATCCTTTCTTCAGCTCTGACAGCAGCTCCCCAACATGCACAAACTCCCGGAGAACAGCCTCTGGCACACAGTAAGGCAGGTCAGCCAGTGTGTCCAGCCCCATCCCGCCTCAGAGAGAGCCTCAGGCTTCTCTGAACTTCACAACTACCTAAGACAGCTCAGGTTGTGCTCTGACCAGTTCTGAAGGAGGAGGAGGTTACCTCGGTGACTTTCTTCTGCACAGGGGACGGGGTGGGGCTGCTCTCATTGCTCTCAGCCTCGCTCTCACTGTTGCTGCCCTCTGTGCTGGTGGCAGTGGCGGCGGAGGCAGCTGTGGTGGCAGCAGTGGTGGCATTGGTGACATTGGCCCCGCTGGCGTGACGCAGTTTCTTCTTCTCATCACGGGCTTGGCTCTGATGCTTGTAGTGCAGCACGGCTTCAAAGTTCATCACTGCCCATGCATGCCAAGCCTGGGTGCACAGGGGGAGAGTTAGGAGCAGACACAGGCTAACTCTGACCTAGTGTGGAGGTGGGACCTGACATTCTGAGTACGCTCTGAGGATGGGCCTTGAGATCCACAGGACGAGAGACACTCGGGAAGGGGGCGCTGGGGCAGCCAATGTGCCCCCTTCTTATCCTGAGCACTACTGGAACCAGGCTTTGTGGTGATCATTGGAGGGTCACAGCAAGAGGGGCAGCAGACACTCCTTGCCTCAGGGGACCTTTAGGCAAGGGGCACTTTACACAGTATAGACTCTGCAAGGCAGATGGGGGCCGGGAGAAGTGGCAACGGGAATGTCAGTGATCTGATGGGCTCCATAAAGAAAGGGGACTTGGTTAAGTCCTACATAGAAGCTGAAATTGGCCAAGGAGGGAACAAGAGACGATGACAGCAGTGGGCCTTCCTGGCAGGT